ATATATATATATATATAGAGACATATCACCCATCAACAACCAGTATGCATTAATACACATAGAACCAGAGTAAAAACTGGGGATCCATGGAAACAAAAACAAAAAACGAACAGAGAGAGAGAGAAAGAGAGAGAGTAGCCATAAGACCTAGGAGTTGGGTAAAAACTGGACTGCAATCCATGCCAAGTGTATAGACTAGGAGCCCCATGGATGATGGTTCGGGACTCAGGTAGGAGCAGTTGCACCACGCCTCCACATCCACATCAAGCCAACGGTTCCAAACCATGTTACCATTAAATTAAGAGAAGGTAAACCAACTGATATTTTGAACCAATGGTTTAAAAAACAGATCGGTGACTCGGATCGGGCACCTAAAAAACCGATCCGGATCGACGAATCGACGATCCGGATCGAAAATCGACTGAATCGGTCGGATTAAAGCTTCAAAAAAATCCGAAAAAATATTAAAATTCATTATAAATATTATTTTTTAAGAATCCAATAAAAAATGAAGGTACTACATGATTAACTTTCATTTTTTTCATCAATTTGTGAATATTGAGATGTTGTTTCCCTGTATAAACTTATGTTAACCATTAAATTTGCATCACATAAAAGAAAAATAATAGAAATATCATAGATAAAATACATAATTATACATGGACTATTATAAAGAGTAGACTAATCAATGAAAGAATGGCCATTAAAATCTCATTTTGGCGAAAAACCCTAATCCGCTAAAAAAATTTAAATTATTACAACCTAACTAACTATAATCCAAAATTATTAAAACCTAACTAATTATAATATTATATAATGAAATTATAATTATTAGTTTATATTTTATAATTATTTTATTAGACAAATAATAACAAATAAAAAATATTTTATAATATTATCTAATTTAAAATATATTATTGACAACTGTAAGAAAAATAGTACATTACATGATTTATAATATAAAAATTAATAAATAAAATAAAAGATTTGGTTATCAATATAAAAATTAATAAACTACGTACAAATTTTGAAAATAACACTTCAATTTTACAAAAATTTATTTTTTTAGGTTTCTATAATAAATTTAGTGAAAGAGATTGTTAGTAGAAAGATAGAGATTTAAAATAGAATAAACTTTTTATTTTTTATTTTTTTATGTTTTTCATATTATTTAAAAAAATAATTATACCACTATATACGACAAAAATTAACTGCTATACAAAAAATTAACTTTTTTATTTTTCATTTTTTATATTTTTTATATTATTTACAAAAATATTTGTACAATATATACAACAAAAACTATACAACACAAAATGTAACGCTCACAAGAGGACTCGACCTTGAGACATCACATGAAGAAGCAAAAATCTTAACCACCACACTACCTCATCACATGTGGTTGTAACTTGCTGATTAATAGAATATATTTACATTCCCATTTCATTTAATGATGTTTGAGAATTATCCCACATCGAAATATGGGTATTAAACTTTGTTATATAAAATCCTATGTAATATGAATCAAAACATTTGTGTACAAATATTGGGGCAACCTCACACGTGTACGTGCACGTGCGTGTCGCACGCTTGCACGTGCGTATCGCATGCGTATCGGGAGGGAACCGGGCTGAACCAGGTAAAGCCCGATGGGAACCGGCGGTTCTTTTCTAGAACCGGACGGTTCCCGGTTTTGTACTGGAACCGGCATGGGCTATGCCGGTTCCCGAGTCGAACCGGACGGTTCGACTCGCCAATTTTTAAAACACTGTTTTGAACCATTGTCATAAAGAACAAAAGCAAAAATGCTTAAATGCTTAACAAAAGTAATTAAAATCTCAAGATCTCAACATTTCAGCCGTTGTCATAAGGGATAAAAGCAATAGGTATTGAGCATGATTACCAAAAATATATACACCATGAAGTACATACTGCATAAGCTTGAAAATTTGGGGGTAAATTGTGATAGTTTACTCGTTTAAGATGACCCCTTGACAATATATATTGATGAATTGACTTGACCCAGCTCTGATGGCATCACTGTATCATGCTAAAGTAAGACCCACAACCCATATGCAGTCTAAGACTGGCACCAGCACATTCATGACTTTTGGCCATCTCCTAAACTGAATCTTGATGAAGTCCTGTCCAAAAGTTCATAATTTAAACTTGATTCAATGTTTCAAGATCTATGAGATGTTTCTCTGAAAAGGAATGAACAAATTCTGGCTTCTGACTAGATTCTCACCGCATATCTGTCGCTCATCGGCCATCTTTTGGAGGTACCTCGCATGCTCCTCGATTTGTAACTGCAGTTTCCTTTGCGACTCGTTTCCTATAGACATCCAATTGGAAACATCTGTGTGCGTGTGTGTTTTTCTTTGGTAAGTGGGAAGAAAAGCTCTCTGAACTCTAAATGCTAAACATTTTGGAAGTAAGCGCAGGTGGTTCTTGTGTTGATGAGACCAGCATGACCATGGTAGTATAGAATTCATAATTTCATATAAAAACAGAAGAATGATAGAGAGAGAAATTTAGTACAAGGAGAGTTGAAGGAGGGGCCAAAATCGAAAGCAAATTTAATGGGGATCCGACACAAACAGACCAAGTGCCACATTACCGTTCCTCGAACAGATTGCCATATAAATGCACAAAACTTTGTATCAAGTGTAGCTTTGCCTCTAACATTTCAAGGGGACATTATAGATAAACAGTAAGAGAAGTTAGCATGTCAATATGATAACCCACTCAAAGTTTTAGAGGTCAAATTCAAATCATAAATGACCATTTCCAGAAAGGTGGCAATCTAGGACATGGTTTTCACCAAGTGCTTAATAAACATCAGCTATGACCATTCAAATTCACATCCCAGCATCATCCCAAGTGGGAAACACCACAGTGGAGGCTAAATTCAGTTAAGCATCCACATTTAGTGACGTTCGGATGCTGTTTTCCACATTCAAGAAGCCTATAAAGGATGCCTACATCACACACTGAAACTGAACCCATCAAAAGCATGAAATTTTAAAAAAGCAAGTAAACACAGGAAGCCACAACAATGTCAAAAATCACCTAAGAAACAGTGTCATGTATGCATTATTCTAGAGTGAGAGAGAGAGAGAGAGAGAGAGAGAGATAAGCATAGAAAATTGCACCTGCAACCAAGAGGGGAGGGCCTCACTCTACTGTCTGAGTTGAACTGCCATGGAAGAAAGCAAGGGCTGGGACAGCTTGAGAGAGCACCATTGCCACGACTTGACCTATGAACACTAGCTCTTGCACCACCCACCGACTTTCTTCAATGGAGTTCTCTCTCTCTCTCTCTCTCTAAAACTCTAACTCTTGCACCACCCTGCTGATTCTTTCAATGGAGTTCTTGTATAGCTTGAAACATATAAATAAAGCATTAGTCTAAAACAAAGATTTTCCCACAAATTTTGCTAGCCTGTAGAATTCAAAATAGGATGAAGTACGCAACAAAAGCTTAATTTCAATTTTGTCACCACAAATATATGGCATGGGCTCCACTGGATGCAAATTAAATGAACCACATCACACTGCTAAAGGCATAAACAGAATGCCCAAAACAAAAAACAGGTCATACAATTATCAAACAAGGATAAAGTATAATTGCTTGCAAACCTTGGTCCAATTTTGCTGAATACAGTCATGTAAGAAACAAACAACAAAGCTCTAGCCAATTTTCCTTGTCTACAATTCCAATTATACTCAATTTCATAACATTGTATTTCAGTAGATTGCAAAATGTAGAGACAAACCACATTAATTTTTCTTTTTTTTTTCAGAAAGTTGACTGTTTCATTGAATAAAAAAAGAAGTAAACACAGGTGTTGGGTCTAGCGTCCCTTACAAAAATTGGGATATACTAGAACCCTAACGGGCAAGGTAATCCTTTACAAAATAGCCAAAAAGAAGTCCAATACTGAGACAACAATGAGTTGGCTCCGCAAGGGATTATATAACACCCTATTTGCAACATGTATGTGAGTAGTGAACAAAAATGAGAGAAAGGCCCATCAGCTAGCTTAGAGGTAGTCCAAGACAGTTTGTGAGGTCGTCTCCGTCATTTGCCATGAGGTTTGCGAGCACGTTGGGCATCCTAAATGTATGCCTCCATGAGACGCTGATACCCCTGCAAGTGAACAACAGAGAGAAAATAAAGAAATAATTCTTATTAAAATTCATAATGGCACTGATTACAAGGAAAATATTGTTAAGAAATAACTAAAATTAAATTTTCAAACGATAAAAAAATTACAAAATATTATTAATTTAATAGAAAAAATAAATCAATAACCATAGGATGAACTGGGAGAGAACGGAGATGGAGAGAGGGAGACGGAGAGACGGGAGAATACGAGAGAGAGGGAGATGGAGAATTGGAGCCTGTAGACTCCATGTCAAAGTACTGTGGGGAAGAGGGAGAGTACTGGGGAGAAGAGGGAGTGTATTGAGGAGAGTTGGGGGAAGAGAGAGAGTATTAGGGAGAAGAGGGAGAGTATTGAAGAAAGTATTGGGGAGAAGAGGGAGAGTATTGAGGAGAGC